GAATTTTCCAAGCTGTTTAAAGGCACAGTCAACTTAGTGTATGAAAACTTCTGACCCACTGTAATTGTGATACAGTGAATTATAAGTGAAATAATCTATCTGTAAACAATTGTTGGAAAAATTACTTGTGTCATGCACAAAGTAGATGTCCTAACCGACTTGCCAAAACTATAGTTTGTTAACAAGAAATGTGGATTGGTTGAAAATCAAGTTTTAATGACTCCAACCTAAGTGTATGTAAACTTCCGACTTAGGTTGGCAGATCATGCACAAAATAATCATTAAAGGTCAAATATTAAAATAAAAGTGGATTTGTTTCCCAATTGCTTTAAAATCACTCTTCATAAAAACACGGAACAATTAATTTATCGGTTTATTAAACTAAACAGATTTCAAAGAGCATAACCAGAGAGACTATCAGACCTGGTTGTAAAAAAGTACAATCAGACTCAAGTCCCTGAACATTACAATTGTAGGTTATAAAATTAAAATAGAACTCCCTTATATTTCAACAACAACAAAATACAGCAAATAAAATGTGAATAACATATTCAGAATAATTAACATAAAATTATATTTTTCTTTGTCTTACATTTTAGAAAATTAAGTCATTGCACTTTAAATGAACAGACGATACATTGTCAAAAGTTGAACTAATAGAACATGGGTCTTGGAAATAAAGAGAATTGATTCAGTACGCAGTTGCTACGTCTAAAATAAAATTAAGTATTTTGCCAATTTTAACCTATCTAATAAAATTGATATGAATATATACAGTGGGGGAAAAAAGTATTTAGTCAGCCACCAATTGTGCAAGTTCTCCCACTTAAAAAGATGAGAGAGGCCTGTAATTTTCATCATAGGTACACGTCAGCTATGACAGACAAATTGAGAAAAAAATATCCCGAAAATCACATCGTAGGATTTTTTATGAATTTATTTGCAAATTATGGTGGAAAATAAGTATTTGGTCACCTACAAACAAGCAAGATTTCTGGCTCTCACAGACCTGTAACTTATTCTTTAAGAGGCTCCTCTGTCCTCCACTCGTTACCTGTATTAATGGCACCTGTTTGAACTTGTTATCAGTATAAAAGACACCTGTCCACAACCTCAAACAGTCACACTCCAAACTCCACTATGGCCAAGACCAAAGAGCTGTCAAAGGACACCAGAAACAAAATTGTAGACCTGCACCAGGTTGGGAAGACTGAATCTGCAATACGTAAGCAGCTTGGTTTGAAGAAATCAACTGTGGGAGCAATTATTAGGAAATGGAAGACATACAAGACCACTGATAATCTCCCTCGATCTGGGGCTCCACGCAAGATCTCACCCGTGGGGTCAAAATGATCACAAGAACGGTGAGCAAAAATCCCAGAACCACACGGGGGGACCTAGTGAATGACCTGCAGAGAGCTGGGACCAAAGTAACAAAGCCTACCATCAGTAACACACTACACCGCCAGGGACTCAAATTCTGCAGTGCCAGACGTGTCCCCCTGCTTAAGCCAGTACATGTCCAGGCCCGTCTGAAGTTTGCTATGAGTGCATTTGGATGATCCAGAAGAGGATTGGAAGAAAGTCATATGGTCAAATGAAACCAAAATAGAACTTTTTGGTAAAAACTCAACTCGTCGTGTTTGGAGGACAAAGAATGCTGAGTTGCATCTAAAGAACACCATACCTACTGTGAAGCATGGGGGTGGAAACATCATGCTTTGGGGCTGTTTTTCTGCAAAGAGACCAGGACGACTGATCCGTGTAAAGGAAAGAATGAATGGGGCCATGTATCGTGAGATTTTGAGTGAAAACCTCCTTCCATCAGCAAGAGCATTGAAGATGAAACGTGGCTGGGTCTTTCAGCATGACAATGATCCCAAACACACCGCCCGGGCAACGAAGGAGTGGCTTCGTAAGAAGCATTTCAAGGTCCTGGAGTGGCTTAGCCAGTCTCCAGATCTCAACCCCATAGAAAACATCACTGCTCTAGAGGAGAATGCATGGAGGAATGGGCCAAAATACCAGCAACAGTGTGTGAAAACCTTGTTAAGACTTACAGAAAACGTTTGACCTGTGTCATTGCCAACAAAGGGTATATAACAAAGTATTGAGAAACTTTTGTTATTGACCAAATACTTATTTTCCACCATAATTTGCAAATAAATTCATTAAAAATCCTACAATTTGATTTTCTGGAGAAAAAAAATCTCATTTTGTCTGTCATAGTTGACGTGTACCTATGATGAAAATTACAGGCCTCTCTCATCTTTTTAAGTGGGAGAACTTGCACAATTGGTGGCTGACTAAATACTTTTTTCCCCCCACTGTATACAGTGGCAAGAAAAGGTATGTGAACCCTTTGGAATTACCTGGATTTCTGCATAAATTGGTCATAAAGTTTGATCTGATCTTCAACTAAGTCACAACAATAGACGAACACAGTGTGCTTAAACTAATAACACACAAATTATTGTATTTTTCTTGTCTATATTGAATACATCATTTAAACATTCACAGTGTAGGTTGGAAAAAGTGTGTGAATCCCTAGGCTAATGATTTCTCCAAATGCTAATTGGAGTCAGGAGTCAGCTAGCCTGGAGTCCAATCAATGAGACAAGATTGGAGATGTTGGTTAGAGCTGCCCTGCCCTATAAAAAACACTCACAAAATTTGAGTTTGCTATTCACAAGAAGCATTGTCTGATGTGAACCATGCCTCGAACAAAAGAGATCTCAGCGCAGAATGCTCAATGAGGTTAAGAACAATCCTAGAGTGTCAGCTAAAGACTTACAGAAATCTCTGGAACATGCTAACATCTCTGTTGACGAGTCTACGATACGTAAAACACTAAACAATAATGGTTTTCATGGGAGGACACCACGGAAGAAGCCACTTCTGTCCAAAAAAAAACATTGCTGCACGTCTGAAGTTCGCAAAAGAGCACTACTGGCAAAAAATTCTGTGGAGAGATTAAACTAAATTTCTGTTGTTTGGAAGGAACACACAACACTATGTGTGGAGAAAAAAAGGCACAGCACACCAACATCAAAACCTCATCCCAACTGTAAAGTATGGCGGAGGTAACATCATGGTTTGGGGCTGCTTTGCTGCCTCAGGTCCTAGACAGCTTGCTATCATCGACGGAAAAATGAATTCCCAAGTTTATGAAGACATTTTGCAGGAGAATGTAAGGCTATCTGTCCGCCAACTGAAGCTCAACAGAAGTTGGGTGATGCAACAGGACAACGACCCAAAACACAGAAGTTCATCAACAACAGAATGGCTTCAACAGAAGAAAATACGCCTTCTGGAGCGGCCCAGTCAGAGTCCTGACCTCAACCCGATTGAGATGCTGTGGCATGACCTCAAGAGAGCGGTTCACACCAGACATCCCAAGAATATTGCTGAACTGAAACAGTTTTGTAAAGAGGAATGGTCCAAAATTCCTCCGCACCGTTTTGCCGGTCTGATCCCCAACTACAGAAAACATTTGGTTGAGGTTATTGCTGCCAAAGGAGGGTCAACCAGTTATTAAATCCAAGGGTTCACATACTTTTCCCACCCTGCACTGTGAATGTTTACATGGTTCAATAAAGACATGAAAACGTATAATTGTTTGTGTGTTATTAGTTTAAGCAGACTGTGTTTGTCTATTGTTGAGACCAATTTACGCAGAAATCCAGGTAATTCCAAAGTGTTCACATACTTTTTCTTGCCACTGTGTGCATAGTTTGTCAAATGAACAACGTATGCAATTCATTACATACGAAACACATGTAAATGTGTACTTCCTATTTTAGAGGTCATACCTTGAACATACAACACATTCTAAGGGAAGTGACTTCTGGGATATGACATGTTTACTTTGGTGTTTCATGATGGTTCTTATCTCAACATAAATAATGTATCTATAAAAGTTTATCATCCTACACGCCAGTAATGAAACATGTTCAGAGGTAATTAAACACTTGCAGTTTTTTGTCCATCCGGTTTTGTGTTTAATGGGATACTTCTGGATATTGGCAATGAGGCCATTTATCTACTTCCCCAGTGTCACGGATTCAGCCGAGGCTGCCCCTCCTCCTTGCTCGGGCAGGTTTCGGCGTTCGTCGTCACCGGCTTACTAGCCACTACCGCTCCATTTATCATCACTCCATTTGTCTTGTCTTGTCTTGTCAATCACACACACCTGGTACTCATTCCCTCATTAGTCTGTGTATAAGTGTTCCCTCTGCCCCCCTTGTCCTTTGTGAGTGATTGTTCGTTGTGAGAGTGAGTAGCTCGGTTGAGCTACTCTTTACTTGTATGCAGCCAAGGTTGATTTTCCCTTGTGCTAGTTTCGTTCTGTCGCTATATGCTCTACATGACTGTACACTGAATAAACTCTTGATTTCTGCGTTTTACCTCCTGCGCCTGACTCCGTCATTCACACCTCATCACACCCAGATTCAGATGAACTTGTGGATACCATTTTTATGTCTCTGCGTGTTAGCAGATACCCATACACTTCCAGTCATTGCGCTAACGCTAGTTAGCATTGGCTTGCGAAACTACCTCTAACTTCCTTCATAATGGACACAGAGCCATATAAATGGTATCCATGAGTTCATCTGACTCTGGGGAAGTAGAAACATCCCGAAGTATCCCTTTAACACTCTGTAATAACTTATTGAACTCTTTCTGGGTTATCTCTTGAAACACCATGTAAAACTGTGATGGTGATATCAGCAAAACATAAATAATGGCAACAACAAAAACAACAACAACAACAACAACTAGATATAGTATTGATAGTAGCCACAAAAAAAGTTCAAATTTCTTTACATTCCACTTGATTGCCGTCGTTTCCTTCTGTTTTTCCATCCCCTTCATCCACGGGAAAAACAGTTGGTCTATAATAGGTAGTTCTCTTCACAAGTCTATATTATCCACAGTGAGCTGAGCTATGCTGGGTCCAGGCCCAGGACCAGGTCCAAGTGAACTGCGGTCTAGCTAGCTCACGCCTGAGACAGAGCACACCAGGAGTTCTGTGGGGTGATAGATGTAGGAGTGAAGGTGTAGTCCTCATACTTGATGTCCACATGTCCTGATCCTGCACTGTCCAGATGTGATGAAGCCTTCGGAGAAATAATGAGATATGTAAATGACTGAGCACAATGATAATAAGGCCTAGGAACTGGGATCTAAGTGGGATAGAATTAAGTGAACATCAAATATGGACTTATTTTCGGGCAGTGAACATTGAAAGCATATCATACTGTCTTCCTTGAGGCTAGTACTGTAGCAGTATGAGGATCCTGGAACGCAGAGGCCTTACCTGGGACACAGAGGCTATGGTCTGTCCGGCCTTACCTGGGACACAGAGGCTATGGTCTGTCCGGCCTTACCTGGGACACAGAGGCTATGGTCTGTCCGGCCTTACCTGGGACACAGAGGCTATGGTCTGTCCGGCCTTACCTGGGACACAGAGGCTATGGTCTGTCCGGCCTTACCTGGGACACAGAGGCTATGGTCTGTCCGGCGTAGGGGGAGGGGGCCATGTTGGGTTCACTCTTTATAGTAGAGGCATGTTCTGAGACAGACACGGAGGACGGGGAGTTGGTGCCTGACGCTGACGAACCTCCTGAAGAAAACAGACAAATGGGTGAGTGACAGGTACAAATCGGACCAGACCGACGTACGATATCAATAGGATTTTATACAGGTCGGTTCTTCCGCTCCCCTCTCTCTCTTACACACAGATGCAAACTTTCATCAACCTAACTAAACTTCATACATTCTCTCTCATTCCGTTCCTCATTCTTACCTGTTGAGGTTTTGGACTTGGGCATCTTAGGTTTCCGTTTCCTTGTCTGAATGCTTTCCTTCTTCATGGCCATTGGTCTGGGGATCTGAGAGGAGGAGGAGGAGAGGCCAATAATGTAGATCCTAGTTGTAACAAAGGCCAACTTGCCTCGAAAACACACACAATGACCTTTCCTCCCACCTCTCTCTATTGATAACAACAACCATGATGACCGTGATAAGCTTTTACATAACACAAATAATATGCTGCTCACACTGCACTGCCAGGCTGATAGGGGTTGGTTTACGTGACCCACACTGCACTGCCAGGCTGATAGGGGTTGGTTTACGTGACCCACACTGCACTGCCAGGCTGATAGGGGTTGGTTATTACAGTAGCATTTTAGACAGGTTTTCCTCCAGCGCAAACGTTGTGTACATTACATGATGTGAGTAGAGTAGGGTGCATGGGAAATGTTTGTGTGTGTATATGTGTCTGTATGGTGTGTGTGTTGCCTACCCCATGTAGTTTCATGTAGAGGCCACAGGCGTTGCAGACAGGCTCTCCCTCTGCGCTGCGACGCCACAGCGTGGTTGTGCTGGTGTGGCAGTTAGTGCAGCACAGGCCGGCCCGGCGAGATGTGGTCTGCTGTAGATGGAGAAGGTGTCAATAGCCAGACTATACCGTCACCGTAACTCAAAGCATTATTCTGACATTTTTCTGAGAGAGAACTGGACCAAGGACAAGGCCAGCTGAAGATGAAAAGTGTAGATTTAGGGTTAGATGGCGAGTCGGCCCCTGGGGGATGTATGTATGACAGGTGCAGGGAACGAGCACCTTAAAAGGATAGCTCAGCCCAAAAAAACAATCTTGCATTGCTGACTCCATGGACTCTGTCGTATAATATTATTTTTAGGTGTTTATAAGATGTGGTCGATTTTTTTATTTGGGTAAACTATCTCTTCACTGTAAGTGAAGTGCGCAGTGTGCACACAATGCCCCCTATAGTATCCACGATGAGACCAAACATGCAGTGTACTGCTAAGGACTTGACATGAGAAATGTTTCACATAGTGCTGGGCTAAGCACTAAGCACTCTTGGCTGAACCTGCCTCGCCTCTCTGTCAGCTTGTCAATGGACACAAGTGAGATTTCTCTGCAGAAACACACTGTAGTTTGGTCACATTGTTCTCTCGCCTCGTACAGATCTGTCTAAAAACAGACAACCCAAGGGCAAGGTCACTGAAGGACAAATTAAAACAAAAACAGGCCAGGCCAGGCAGAGCGGAGCGGAGCTGGCTAGGGTAACTCACAGCAGCTGCTCGCTCTGAGAGGCTGGTTCCTGACTGGGAAAGAGACCGTGGTGAAGAGTTATTTCCCTCACTCTGGTTCCTGACTGGGAAAGAGACCGTGGTGAAGAGTTCTTTCCCTCTGGTTCCTGACTGGGAAAGAGACCATGGTGAAGGCCTCTTTCCCTAACTCTGGTTCCTGACTGGGAAAGAGACCGTGGTGAAGAGTTATTTCCCTCACTCTCCTACACTAACCTTCTGAAGGAACACACTGACCCTCTACCTCACACTTTTTTCCAACCAATACCTGTGTTAACGGGGTTTGACCTAGAAGAAAGTACTATCTGCTTAAGCCAGCTTTTTCTCAAAACCAAATCAATACATTTAGTGACCAAAATAATTCCACATTGACTATTGTAAAATATACTGTATTAGTGAATAATAGGCCTAATCAATAAGATGCATCTAAGTCAAATTCAATCAATCAATCAAATGTATTTTATGAAGCCCTTTTTACATCAGCAGTTGTCACAAAGTTCTTATACAGACACCCAGCCTAAAACCCCAAAAGAACAAGCAATGCAGTGGCAGAAGCACAGTGGAAAAACTCCCTAGAAGGCAGGAGGAACCTAGGATGAAACCTAGTTATAAGTTATGTTACATCCATACACTTTTATGAACACACAAATAATGCAATGGTGCTTACCAGGCGTTTCTGGGGTTTGATGAGCGGTCTGTTGATTCCGTTCATCTTGTGGTACAGTCCGCAGGCATTGCACAGGTAGTGCCCAGTACCATCCCGCCGCCACAGAGGAGTGGAGATGGAGCCGCAGTTTACGCACTCGCGCCCCTCTCCTGGGAACTCCTCTGACATGTCTGTAATATGACGCAGCCAAAGTAATAGAGTTTTAATATTCTCAGTAGCCTAGCCTTGGGTTGGTTTTAATACAATGTGCCATTGCCACATGATGACGCTAGAGCAAAAACATGAACACGGCTGAAACTAGCTACATCATCACCTTGAGTTAAATTGCATTATTCTGTCAATTTGGACATCATCTTATTTATAAGATATTTTAGTAAAATGTGTTTATAGACTCTGGAATACAATTCAGGCCTATTGTGATTGCAAGTGCTATGTGTGTGCCTATTTGGATATTGGGTAAAAATGTTGCTTCTTTGGTCAGTTTTGTATTTTTTTTGGATACATTGAAAGCATATAAAATAAATCATAAATCCAGACATGAAGGCCATAAATTAAGACATCTTTGATGTTTGTTAAGTCATATCAGTGGACAGAACACACCATCATGTTTGATGTTTGTAAACCTGTATTGGTGGACATAAAACGCCAGCATGTTTGATGTTTGTAAACCTGTATTGGTGGAAATAAAACGCCAGCATGTTTGATGTTTGTAAACCTGTATTGGTGGAAATAACACCAGCATGTTTGATGTTTGAAAACCTGTATTGGTGGACATAAAACGCCAGCATGTTTGATGTTTGTAAACCTGTATTGGTGGAAATAACACCAGCATGTTTGATGTTTGTAAACCTGTATTGGTGGAAATAAAACGCCAGCATGTTTGATGTTTGTAAACCTGTATTGGAGGAAATAAAACGCCAGCATGTTTGATGTTTGTAAACCTGTATTGGTGGACATAACACCAGTATGTTTGATGTTTGTAAACCTGTATTGGTGGAAATAAAACGCCAGCATGTTTGATGTTTGTAAACCTGTATTGGTGGACATAACACCAGCATGTTTGATGTTTGTAAACCTGTATTGGTGGAAATAACACCAGCATGTTTGATGTTTGTAAACCTGTATTGGTGGACATAAAACGCCAGCATGTTTGATGTTTGTAAACCTGTATTGGTGGACATAACACCAGTATGTTTGATGTTTGTAAACCTGTATTGGTGGAAATAAAACGCCAGCATGTTTGATGTTTGTAAACCTGTATTGGTGGACATAACACCAGCATGTTTGATGTTTGTAAACCTGTATTGGTGGAAATAACACCAGCATGTTTGATGTTTGTAAACCTGTATTGGTGGACATAAAACGCCAGCATGTTTGATGTTTGTAAACCTGTATTGGTGGAAATAACACCAGCATGTTTGATGTTTGTAAACCTGTATTGGTGGAAATAAAACGCCAGCATGTTTGATGTTTGTAAACCTGTATTGGTGGAAATAAAACGCCAGCATGTTTGATGTTTGTAAACCTGTATTGGTGGACATAACACCAGCATGTTTGATGTTTGTAAACCAATATCGTTGACATAAAGAGCCAGCGCCTGATAAATGTTCCCCCTCTCAGCTCTGTTATTTTTTGGATCATTTGTGAGAAGGAGGCAGTGAGACTTTCTTTAAAGTCTCACTGCCTCCTTCTCACAAATGATCCCAAAAATATAAAAATTAAATAAAGTTGGTTCAACACAGTGGCGGGTCATTTTGACCCTAGGACAACGGGAGGGTTAAAGCCCTCTAGTGATGAACAGAGATCTAAACTGAATGTATCAATATGGAGAGAGGGTCATAGACGTATCTATTTGGGCGGCTTGCTGGCGGGGCACAGGGCCCAGACGGGTGGAATGTCAATGGGGCTCTTATCAGTGTTAAGGATCCAGGGGTCCCCAAATCATTCAAGCTACTGACACTCGACGGCCTCCTACAATTAATCACTCAAATTCCTTATCCACATATTGAAATAGGATAAATTGATAAAAACAACAACAGTAGTATTGATAACAATAATAACAATAGAAGAAGAACAAAACCTAGTAACAATAATTTTATCTTTATTTAACTAGGCAAGTCAATTAAGAACAAATTCTTATTTACAATAACGGCCTACACCGGCCAAACCCAGACGACGCTGGGCCAATTGTGCGCCGCCCTATGGGACTCCCAATCACAGCCGGTTGTGATACAGCCTGGAATAGAACCAGGGGGTCGGTAGTGACGCCTCAAGCACTGAGATGCAGTGCCTTAGAACGCTGCGCCATTTGGCATTCAATTATTCAATTATGTTCCTTTTTATTCATTATGGGCTATAATTTTACATTTTAGTCATTTAGCAGATGCTCTTATCCAGAGCGACTTACAGTTAGTGAGTGCATACATTTTCATAATCATGGTAAATGTCTTAGTTTCTTCATGTGTAAGAGTGCCATGAGATATCAAAGTGCTATAACTAAGCTATTGACAACATAGTCTTGTAAACCAAACTTGGGGTAGATGTCTAAGCCCCACCGTTCACAGACACACACGCACAGACACACACACACACACACACACCACTTTTCGTTTAACAAGTCAGCAAATCCAGGAACCATGAATCCAAAATAAACAAAAAATAACGAAATATTTTCACCAGAATGAAAATCCGTTCCTGTTTGATGTGAAACGAAGTAATCAACAAACGCATAGTGTGTATTGTTATTAACTGGAAACGGGCTATGGCCTACAAAGGAATCGCGTCCTTATATCCATGCAACAGGGGAAAATCCCACTTCAAAACATTCTGATTTTCGACCATCAAAGGACGTGTTGGCTGCGTACTAAACGTGTATCTTGGACCCATTTCCAAATAGGCCTTTACTGTCTGATCTGATCAAGGTGACAATTGGACAGTTTCCACTAGTGAGTGTGTATTGATCATCAAAACACTAGAAAAGAAAACGGACTGTTGGTGAGGATAAATTAGCACCTCAATTAACTGGTTTTAGTAACCTCTCTTTTAAAGAATGTGTATTGTGAAAGCTGGTAAAGATTGTTCTTTTTTAAAGGTTGATTGAATCACAGTGACTGAGTACAATCAATTGTAGAATTGACCACGTACAATGGGACTTCTCAATCGCATCAATAAATACCTTTAGAAAGAACAAGGCTATAAATTGTGAGGTCAGCGCACGGGTCTCTGTTACACTTCACAGACACACAAACGGCCTCTGTAACCCTTCACAGACACACAAACGAATAGCCTCATTAGCAAAAGTAGGCCTAACCAAAACGTAACTGTAATGAAAATGTTTTTGCATGAAATTCAAGGTGAATTATCCACAATTTTTTATCTTATTAAAATCGTATTAATATTTATCAAAATATAGGTCTACATATTTTGTCTGCCCCCAAAATATATGTAGGCCTATATGTCACTAAAGGGTTACTAGGCCTGCGATATAAATTGAATTATGTTCATTTTTATTCAATATGTGCTATATTCTTTTCGTGGCCTTCACCAATTACAAATACATCAGGGGAACATTATTAAATAGGAGTATATTATTTGATTTTACAAATTCCCTTTAGTTTCAGAGGAAATGTCAGACAAAAAAAAAACACATGTGTAGCCACATTTATCAAAGACTGTTACATACCCAAACTGGACCTTCTCCCAGACAGGCAACCTTGCCGTCCCTGAAGACTGATCATGCCGCTCTCAAAGTGCCCAGGTGTCCAAGAGGTCGCCATCTCGGGGCTCATATACGCGTACGGACTCGAGTATGAGCCTCCAACTGACCGCACCAAAGTGCTGCCATAGTGGTCGACCCGACCACCGTTACTAAGCACTAGCTGGTTCTGGTAGGCTGTGTCCCTGCCGGTATTGCTGCTTACTGGCGGGCTGTGAGAGTAGGAGAACCCGGGAGGTGGATGGGGGCTGCCCGGGATGAAAGACGAACTGTCTGTGCCAGACTGAGGCCAGCCGTGATGCCCGCCGAGGCCATGAGACTGATGGGCGGACTCGCATGTCTGCAAGTACGGCAGGGTTTGCAGCATAGCAGGCACCCTCGTAGTGGGCACGTAGACTGGGGAACTCGCCGAAGGGTGAATATAGTTCCCTGCATCGTGTGCGTATGGGGACTGGTTGGATGACAAAGCAAGGCTTTGGTACATTTTTACACCGTATACTCGTCCTATTTGGAAGAATATGGGTACTGACTCCTGGGACAAAGCGGGTCAAGTAAAGACACTTTCACGCAGCTCCTAGGGCACCTCGAGTCGTGGGCGATTCTTCGTTATCCAGTCGCTGGATAATAAGCAAATAAATCCGCTCCTGTATGAAAGGGAAATACCACAATCAACAAAAGTGTCCTGTAGTGGAGAGATGGAAGCCATAGCACTAATTACAGAAGAAACACAATCTAGCTGCAGCTTAAAATTCAAGCCTGGGACATAGCCTGTTGTGGTCTATATCTATTATCTTCATCTTTTGTAAAATGCGCTCCTTTCCCTTTAAAATAAATGTTGGTATTATTTAGGTACAATTTCACGAATTAGGCCTAAACTAAGCGGGTGTAAATCGCAATAGCTAGGCTTTAGAAATAAAAGAAAAAACAGAAAACAAATTGATCAACATTCAACAACAAGAGTCATATATTATCTGTATCACTCTGATTGATATGTAATGGATTAAAATGACACTGATGGTTTCCCATATCTTTACATGTAGATATAACTAACTATCAGCGACCCCAGCTATCCTGAGGATCACTCCTCTTGCACGTTGTAATTAAATCATAACAGGAACCTAATCAAACAGCACAATAGATAGGCGAGCCATATCTGGTATGCATATATTTCTATCAATAGTCATGCGAATCACATAAAACGTTGATAGCAGTGTGCAGAGGAGGAATACAATTTCATCCAAGAGCTTTTGTATTATCTCACCAGATAAGAAACGGTCGGGTGATAAAGTATGTTTTCCAGAGGAGCAGCTTGAGCAACGTGTTCACTCAGATAGACTCAACGAAAGTGACTCGAGGCTCCGACAAAAGATGTCCAAAATGCCTTTGTGCGTAAAAGTTTACGAGGAACAATTATTTCTTATTTCCCGGATGGTCTAAGCCTCTCTCTCTCTCTCTCTCTCTCTCTTATTTGTAACTGAAGATGGTTACCGTCGCTGATAATTGCTGATATAAGAGAGCTCCGATTAGTTTTCTGCTGGAAAACTTTACTGCCAGTTATTTGTACAGGGTAGACCACGTGATGCACAAGGTAGGACTCAGAAGTTGGAGGAGGAGAGGCGCAGAAGGGGAGAGCGTAAGACCAGCTTTAATTCATCGTACCTGAAGAAGAGACCCACCTTTGCGGAATTTGCTGCGTCTTGATTGTTTTACAGTCAATTATAAGTTACAATTTAAAGATTCACGATATTGTCACCGTTCCTTCTGAATTGTTAAGGTTGTTTAGATGTTCTCGATATATTTTTTTATGAATCAACCCAATTTAATCTAAATTATTTGATACTTCTATTGTTTTCATATATATTAATCATGACGGTGCAGCCAAGTAACTAATGGACAACAGAATAAAAAGGATGAATAAAACACCGACAAGTCAACAGGCACTGCGGGCCTGCCTACATTTTAATACAATGAAAGTAGATCAACACCGGTCAAATTTACGCAGCGCAACTCCTTTTTAGATTGATCATCAATCAACCAATGCTGTGTGTTTGAAACGAGCCATACATTAACTTAGCTAAATCAGAGCTTGCTGTAAAATAATGTCTCCTCTGAGAGGGAAAGTTGTGCTTGTTTTTATGACCAGATATGAGAATGAGATCTCTATAAAAAATAGCAAGGCGATAAGAGATACGACCAATATCTTGGTATGATGATAGAACAATAATCACTTTAATTATAGACAGTTGGAGTTATTGTCAGTTAACGATTGACTCCACCTCCACAATAAATAGTTAACAATAATTATGTCAGAACATAGATATAGTTATGACGGTATCAGTAGGCTTAATACCTCAAGGCAGAGTCTAACAAATACTGCCACCAGCATTACTGTATCTCACTGCAACTTTCATTACTAAGGATAATAAAACTGTCCTTAAAATGGGCTAACTACGATAATTACATTGTTATCATGCTATCCTTATGTTATTATGTATTGTTTGTATAATGTGACAAAATGGTAGCTGTACTTGCCGTGATTATGATTAAATTATGACATTGTCAAATGTAACTTTGATCTGTGTTTTGTGCACATTATACTTCAAGAAATAATGTTTTATAAAGCCCACGTGGGCTGGGCACCAATTGGTGTATGACACTGAAATAAAATAAATCCATCAATCAGTTATTATTATGAGAATTATTATTAGTCGTAGGCTAGGCTTGGAGTTAGTCTTGTTGTAGTTGGAGTGGTATTAAAAGTACAATAACAGTATTTCGATACTTTCACACTTTTATCCGATACTTTCACACTTTCACACTTTGATGACGACGAGGCAATAACATATATTTTATGGTTTATACCAAAAAATAAAAATCCCGATAATTTACATCACATTCTATTTTACTTTTGTGAAATTATTGTTGGTCCTTGTGAAAATGAGCTATGATATATTCTCAACCAGATTGTTTCTGCTTTAAATTCTCAATGTTTTCTCTTCAGGACAGCTGATGATCTGTATGCCTTCGACTGGTCGCAGTCGCAGATGATAATGAGATGAATAATGATGACGTTGTAACCTGTGCTCTCACTCCTCGTGCCCCTCAGGAGCGCAGCGAGCTAGGAGACAATCAGGGAACGCTGTGTGTCTTTCTTCTACTCAATAAATGTATTTTCTTTTTATCACTGAGGAGGGTCCAACGACCTGTGACTTAATCACTCTGTAAATTTTCTACAGTCGCCTTTTAATCAAGGATGAGTTTCGTCGTCTGAATGTCTGTCATCGTAGGCCCTATTCCCACTACAAGATATGAAGGAGAGTGATGAGCGGGGTGGCAAAAGATAATTTTACTTTTCAATTCATTACATTTACATTTTACATTTTAGTCATTTAGCAGACGCTCTTATCCAGAGCGACTTACAGTTAGTGAATACATATTTTTTTATACTGGCCCCCCGTGGGAATTGAACCCACAACCCTGGCGTTGCAAACGCCATGCTCTATCAACTGAGCTACATCCCTGCCGGCCATTCCCTCCCCTACCCTGGACGACGCTGGGCCAATTGTGCGCCGCCCATGAGTCTCCCGGCTGCGACCGGCCGCGACCGTAAGACATCCTTGCCTTACCTTTTGTTGGGAAAGCTAAAATTGAACATACATATCACAGTGGCCATTAAGCACAAACTATTCAACAATGACAAAAACTTTTCTTATAAAACATATTACACTATTGAATAATGCAACCAAACCATATTACACTCTTGAATAATGCAACAATTCACAAGCATGTATGTGCTGACAATTAAAGGGTTTATTTTCCCGTCTTGTTTTAACATTTTAGCTTCATTTTAGTTGCCATAACAGCATGTCTTCATCAAGTTACGTTAGCCTATCAAAAATTAAGGATTAATCCATTCATACGAATATAAAAGTACAGTAGGCCTAGCTTACAACATTACAACAAACCGGGCTTCATTTTTATCAATATAATGCAAATAATTAAAAGTGGTAAAAGCAAATTGCTACTGAAAACGTGGGTATAAGTGAATTCACCACGATTAGCTGTTTTATACCGAAGCTCATACCTGCCTCAACTAGGGCCCGGAGTTGGTTAGGTTAGCCTACTACCATTTTTTTTATTTTTTTTATTTAACCTTTATTTAACCAGGTAAGCCAGTTGAGAACATGTTCTCATTTACAACTGCGACCTGGCCAAGATAAAGCAAAGCAGTGCAATAAAAACAACACAGAGTTACATATGGGGTAAAAAACATAAAGTCAAAAATACAACAGAAAATATATATACAGTGTGTGCAAATGTAGCAAGTTATGGAGGTAAGGCAATAAATAGGCTATAGTGCAAAATAATTACAATAGTATTAACACTGGAATGCTAGATGTGCAAGAGATTATGTGCAAATAGAGATACTGGGGTGCAAAAGAGCAAAATAAATAACAATATAGGGATGAGGTAGTTGGGTGGGCATTTCAGAAAAAACTTTGGGCCCCAGGAAAACAATCCCCCTCCACCACTCTGGGACCTGTGGAGCCACCCCTGAAATCACCACACAATGTCGCAAATGAAAAAACATTTCCTATTTTTATGATATGTTATTGGTGGTGAGATGGGCTCGGATAATTTTACGTAGCTCAGTGTAGCCGGCAGCTACTGCAACAATGTCAGAATTCAACAGGCTGTTACTGCAATTTAAGGTAAACACTAAATAAAACAAGTCTCAAATATTAGGAAAATGTCTATACATTTCAGCTGTTTCAAAATACCATTCATACTGTAGGAGTGTTGGATCAAGGAGTCAATCCTGTTTACACTGCCCTGCTTCGTGGGGTGCAACTGTCTGGGTGAATGTCGTGTGCTACCTCCGGAGGTAGCGGTTGAGACTTAGCAAGTAAAGAAGTTTACATTGCAGCAATATGTGTAGCCGACGAAGAGGCTCATAGAAAGGACATTTACTCTGACCATGTGACCCAGGTGATGGATTAGCCACCAATCAGTGTTGAAACAGCTCAGTCAGTCAACATTTGGATATTTCAGTGAAGCCTGTCATCAGGTTGACTCTGGAAAAAAAAGACGTAGAAAAATATAGGAAGTGTGTTTGGTGTTTTTTATTAATGGTATTGCGAGTATGGAGAAACAATGTTCATTGCTCGTTTATATTTGATTTAATTTTGTATTCATAATAAGCTTAATCCACCAGAAATTATCAAGAAAGAGTTCATTTGAAAAAATAACACGTAGGCCTAACAAAGGTTTGAGCAAAGGATGTGTAATTTATCCTCTTTAGACAGACTCGCCAACGCATGACATGACATATTAACGAAAACATGCTGCAATGTGTGGGATATTAACTGTAAATGGTCATTTGTAGCATGCAAGACAGTGAGATTGTGCGTGAGTGTTTTATCAATTACCAAGACTGCTAATAATAGACACATTGAAATATTTGATATATTTCAGTCGGTAATTGGCCTATTTATAATGCTTCGTATTGTAAATGGCCAATACATTATTCTGTACAGAAAATATAATTTCTGTGAGTCAAAATATGTATATAAACCATTTTACTTCTCCAGATAAAAAACGTAATCTGAGTTAGGCCTATACTTCTAACCTCCGAAATAATAATACATTTCACATGGTTAACGGAATTACCTTTAGGCTACTTTTCACACAAACACATATAGTTTGTTAGTCCGATAAGAAATAATGGATAAAAGTTGTTAGATATTTTTAGAATATAAATTGAAACTTATTGTAGGAATAAACAACACAACAACTCCCTCATCATTTCGTTTATATTTCTTTTTCTATTTACTAAAAAAGTTTATACATTTCAGGGCAAGTGTACATTTTCGTAATAATCTCTCCTCCTTAACGATTTATAACAAATGTGATTGGACATGTTTGATTAGATAAAAGTAGGCCCATTCTCATTACAGGGCTAATCACACAGGCAACCATTACGAGGTCATGCAGATCATATTGATTCCTCAATTTCGGTAGTTGTTGTAGACATTCCACAATATAATACAAGGAAAATACCTACGGACAAGATAAGATGTAGGCCTACTTAAAAAATAACACTCATTATTACATACAGTGAGTAGAACTCTTGCAGTAGAAAATGATGTAATCAAATAAATCGGATAAGATGACAATTGTTTCTGTGACCCTATGGTGAACCTTGAACCTATATGCCCTATCTCCCCGAAAGCCTCAAAAGGCTACCAAAGACATTTGATCCTTTCCCTATTCCCCATCAATTGTTCGTCGGCCTGCGGCTGTCATAATCCTAATATTTCACCGACAACCAAACTGGCGGGTTAGCGCGCTGTGTAAATCTCCTCTCTCACTAGAGAGGCTGATACGACACTTATGAATGAGGTGCCTTGTGAGGCCTGCTCCTCGCGAGCCTCATTATACAGTCCATCACGCTGCTCC